GAAGTGTAAACTTGTTTAATAAACCATATCTTTCATTTTCGATTTTTAATTCACGTAGTCCGGGAACTTTCCGGACAAACTGTGTATGTAAATTATATACTGGTATCAAAAAATATAATAGACCGTAGACTAAATTTTCAAGATATTATACTGAAATTTTATGTGTTAGTCAGTGTTACGTCCTGGCCCACGGTTACGGTCGGGCTATGGTGGAGTAACAGAGAGCTGTCGTTTCTCTATCTCCGCACAGCAGAATGGCGATCCCGCTGCGGCAGAGTCGAGCGAGTTTGTATGCTCTCACGGACAGGTCAACAGTGTATGCCGATCTTACTCTATTCTATGAGGCCCCGCTCGTCGGTCTCTTTTTAAGTATAGAGATTTAACTCTACGGACTAAGGACGAGACCGTAAGATCAATTGAGGATGTGGAGAATGAGAGGTCGATTTAATCAAACTAATTGGATATAAAACATATTAATTTATTCATTAAAGGAGTTTATTGTTACAAAGTTTTTGCGTTAGGTGTGTTGTCGTGTGGATGAATGTGATGTAGCGGGGCAGAGGAAAGAATGTGTACGTGTGGATGTGTCGCGAGAGCGTGTGAAGGGACCTCCGGCGGGTTTTTACAAATGTAAGCGTGTCGGGTGCATGTGTAAGACGTCGATTCGTGGTCTAGCTATAGAAATCATTATTCTAAATCAATTTCTATTATTTCATGGAGGTTAGCGTAACTAGGAGGAAATATAAAATAAAAATGACGGACTGGGACTAAGCGGATGTCATCTAGATACAGAAATTCGACAGGGAGGAGTTTTCTGGATGGAGTGGTAGATACTAGGTGAAAGAGATCAGATGGATCTATTCTTAAAGGATCGATTACAAAAGGTAATTTTTTAGGATCTGCTTTTTGGTAAGCGGAGGCTAACTTAAGGAAGTGTTGTAATTTGGAGTCGAGCGGTGGAGTGGTCGGTCGAGAGGAATCGGAAGATTCGTCTGCGGGCTCTTGCCCGGATGTGAAAGGTATAGGGGAAGGAGAGCGAGGAGGGGGTGGAGGAGTCGGCGCGGATTGCACATCCGCGGGATTTTCTGCGGGACAAGAGGTCTCAGGGTGCGTTGAAGAGGGGGAGCGAGAAGGTGAAGGCGGTGGATTGTTCACGGGAGGAGCAGGGGAGGATTGAGCGTCTGCGGGAGGATCGGGGGTTACAGGTGAGTACGAGAAAGCTTCATACCACGAATCGTCGTGTGTATGTGTGTCTGTGTGTGTTTCTACGTGTGCGTGATCATTATTATTATTATTTTGTGCGTGAGAGGTGTCTACGTGCAAGTGTGTCAATGGGTGTGCGTGCGCGTGCGATGAGGTTGTGTGTGTATCGCTGGGATTTCTTATTTTATTGTCGTTGTTGCTATCGTTTTCTATCGTTGCGGGAGAGGTGGCGTCAATAGGCCTGGTCGGCTCCGCTTTGTTTAGCGCGAGCGCTGCCGCTCGTTGCGATTATTTTATGTTGCGTCGGTAGCGCTGGGCCTTTTTACCTGTTTGCGAAGTTCTCTGCCGGGGTTCCACTTAAACGATTTTATGCAATTATGCTCAATTTATGGTATTGTATTTTCTTTTGTTATTGTATTTTCTTGGCTTCTCGACCGTTTTCGGAGATGTTGAGACTTGTTTACTACGTGGTTTGGGAAAGAAAATATATAAAAATTTGGCTGCCACCCGAGACGGCTATACACCGCGAATAGCTCTTCCAAAAAATTCGACTGCCACCCGAGACGGCTATAGACCGCGAGTAGACCTTCCAAAAAATTCGGCTGCCACCCAAGACGGCTATACACCGCAAGTAGCCCTTCCAAAAAATTCGGCTGCCATCCGAGACGGCTATACACCGCGAGTAGCCTTTCCAAAAATTTCGGCTGCCGCCCGAGACGGCTATACACCGCGAGTAACCCTTCCGAAGAATTCGAATTTGTGAGCGCGTCTATCTATTCGTTTATTTTAACCGTTTTTCTCGATCTCTCCGAAAATCAGTCACGACATCAGCTGTTAATTTCGCGAGAAGTGGAACCTCCGTATATATAATGATGTGGACTTACTACTTAGATGATCTCGACTGGATGCTGTTGGGTCTCGTAGCCCCCGTGCGGCTTAGCTGCTGGATGATCGGCGGCGAGTCAGTTCGAACCGGTGCGGCTGGAGCTGGCGTGGATGGCCCGGTCGGCTTGTTCTCTTTGTACACTTACCCTTTTTTACGCGCACTCACTTGTCGCAAATTTCCTGCGGCACTCCCGGGGAAATCAGAAGTTTTTCTGACTTCAGACCCGAGAGTCCCGTCTTATATATCTTTTTGAGTCAGCAAGTGCTCACCGAGTTTCTTCAAATCGGAAAACTTGGTTGGGCCTTGCTGGTTGCTATTTGTTAATTAGTCGTCGGGTAACCTTTGTGTGATCGCCAATCGACAACGATTTCTCGCCTTGGTCGGCTTGTCCAATTTTTTGGAGAAGGGAAAAGGGAGAGTGTAGTTTTATTCCGATCATGCCACATAGACCCTTTGCTATTTGCTTATAATAAAATTGCTCGTGGCGCCGGAGTTTCTATTTGCGCCGGCCGCTCTAATTTTTATAAGCGGTGTTTTTCATGACCCAGAGATATCCGGGTTTGTTTGGAAAGCTGCTCAAAGTGTTTAAATAGTAAATTTTTCTTGCTCGTTATATCTTTGCGGGCGTCGATATGATTTCCGTTTGCTCTCCTATCGTCTGGAGTCTAAGTTTACAAACGATAGGAGACCGTTCGAGTTATTTATTGCTTTTTATTATTTATACAAAAAAGGGTTTGCTATGCGTTGGCGCGTCGCGTTGCAAAAAAAGGGGACCGTGGAGTCTCCAGGACGTAACATCAATAAGGCGAAAAAAGTTAAATTTAAGTATGGCATTCAATTTGTGTGTTACAATTATTTACATTTTCCTTTTGTCAAAGTCTTTTGAATATGGAAAATTATTGCAAAATATTCTCACATATAACGTACATAACTACTATGCGCTGTGCTTACGTAAGTGAGTACTATGTGCGTAATACATTACATATACAATATGCGATATAAAAACTGCAATATACACGTGCTCAATGATCTCTCAAGTCAAGTTGCATTGCAACATAGAAATATTCGGAAAATAAAAGAATTTCTATTTAAAAAATCAATATCTTTATCGTAGTATATAACGCAAGTTCCTTATATAAAATGTACTAAAAAAAAATTTTGGAAAAAACTTATTTCAAAATTGTATTACTATGCGATTACATAGAGATGTTCTTATGATAAAACTTTGTACACATGTATAGATACCTACATAAATGTAAAAATTTTCAATAGCGGCCTAAAATCGATTCTAAACAGTGAAACACTCATTATGTGTAAAACGGTTTTGCGGTTTTCTTGATGTATCTTAGAAACTATTAGAGATATCTAAAATTGTTTTATACAAAAGTTTTATGGTACGAACGCCTCTATTTACCTACATTAATAGACTTGCTTTAAAAAATTTGTTTTTATAACATTTTTAAACAATTTAAAAAAAAATTAGTTTTTGTAATTTTATTGATGTGGCTAAATAGAAAACATTGTTCTATAAACGTTTTGTGTAAATAAAGTTTTAATATTTCCAATAAGTTTTGAGAGTGTAGTTCCAAATGGCCCCTGCTCCCGATCAATCTGAAATTTTGCACAAAAATAGTGTTTGATTGGACAAACAAAACGCACGTAGTTCTTATTTTGGGAACTAAAAAACAAACTTAAAAAAAAAATAAATACTATATTGATTAAAATCGATTTTCGGTGTATTTCAGAATGACTCCTTCTCCTGATCAATCTGAAATTTTGCATAAAAATAGTGTTCGATGGGACAAACAAAACGCGCGCAGTCCCCATCTCGAGAAATGAAAAACACATTAAAAAACCACATCAAAACATTATCAATTAAAGTCGATTTTATGTGATATGTATACACATATATAATACATGATAAAAATATTACATATGATAATTCTATTTACTGAAAAGAATTTTAACGTAGCGGACGATGAGAGTAAACAGTGCTTTGCACGAAAAGGTACAAATTTATTTTTTGCAAAAAGCAAGATCTACTTTCTATTGTATGATGCTTTGAGAAATTAAGTCTACAATTATATCGTATCACAAGTTTAATTTTCACGTGAAGCGAGATTCAATGCAAATCTATATGTCTAGTGTTTTTTTTTTTTTATAGTGGAGCCTCTCGCAAGGATTCTATTAGAAGGGCGCCACTGCCTCCATACATACATTTTGGCTTCTTTTTGATATTCACTGTTAGTACTGAAAATCTATACTATAAATATTTATACTATAATATCTATACTACGAGGGCTGTTTGATAAGTCAGTGANTTTTTGAATTTATCGCGCAGTAATTTAAAATGCAACACTGCTGCCCTCAACCGCCATCTATTAATAAACTACTGTTAAATTTTGAGCAAGCTGAGTCATTTAGTTTGTGTTTGACAGCCATTGAAAGTAGACAACCTCGTGAACTTTAACAAAAATGGAAAAAAGTGAATTTCGTGTGCTGATTAAGCATTATTTTTTGCGTAAAAAACCATCACTGAAACCAAGGAAAGACTTGATAAATACTATGGGATATCTGCACCATCAATTTCAATGGTTAAGAAGTGGTTTACTGAGTTCCGTTGTGGTCGTACCAGCACAAGTGACGCCCAACGTTNAGGTCGCCCAAAAGAGGTCATCACGCCAGAAATCGTCGATAAAATTCATGGAATAATATTGGACGATCGGAGAATNAAAGTACGTGAGGTGGCTGAGGCTGTAGGCATCTCAACTGAGCGGGTACATCATATTTTACATGAATATTTGGACATGAAAAAACTATCCGCGAGATGGGTGCCGCGATTGCTTACACTCGACCATAAGCGCAACCGTGTGACCACTTCAAAGGAGTGTTTGGCGATGTTCAGCCGCAATCCGAACGAGTTTTTGCGCCGTTTTGTAACCGTGGACGAAACATGGATCTATCACAATACACCAGAGACTAAGGAACAATCAAAACAGTGGGTTTCATCGGGTGAACGTGCACCAAAGAAGGCCAAAGTGAGTCTGTCAGCCAACAAGATCATGGCCACAGTTTTTTGGGATGCACGCGGTATCATTCACATCGATTACCTTGAAAAGGGTAGAACGATCACCGGCGAATATTATTCAGAGCTTTTAGACAGATTCGATATTGATTTGAAGCAAAAACGACCGCATTTAGCGGAAAAAAAAGTGCTGTTCCATCAAGACAATGCACGGGTGCACACGTGTGTTGTCGCGATGGCAAAAATCTATAAATTAGGCTACGAACTGCTACCCCATCCAGCATATTCTCCAGATTTAGCCCCCTGCGACTATTTCCTATTTCCAAACCTGAAGAAATGGCTGGCTGGTAAGAGATTTGGGTCGAATGAAGAGGTCATCACCGAAACAAACGCCTATTTTGAGGGCCTTGAGAAAACCTATTATTTGGAAGGAATAAAAAAATTGGAAAATCGCTGGACTAAATGTATCGAGCTAAAAGGAGATTACGTTGAAAAATAAAACGCTTATTTGCCAAAAAAAATATATTTTTTTTTCAAAAAGTCACTGACTTATCAAACAGCCCTCGTATAAATATTTATACTATAATATCTATACTATAAATATTTAAACTATAAATATTTATACTTTTAAAGAAAATAATAATTAAGGAATAAGCCGATACGAGGCGAAAATACTGGGTGTCAGTGTATGTTAATGTCTCTTTATTAATGTCAGACGTTTCGACTCCTGGATTGAGTCTTCCTCAGTGACATTATTAATTCTATATTAGGATATAAAAGATGACATAAATGAGCGAGAATCCAATGTTAAAACATAATCGCAATAAACAATGATCAACAAATAACAATTGATAAATTAACAAAACTCACACAATTCAGTTTGAACTGCGCATCAATACTCCGTCTCATGTGCCGAGATGAATTTCTTATAAGCACACACAGTGTCTAGGAAATAAACAAAGTACTGATGCTCAGCCCTTACAAAACAGGTCTTATATGTCCCAAATCCCATCTCTGAAATTAAGACAAGTATGTGTGTACAAACAACACACTTCGCAAACATGATCAAACGTATTATTTAGTATTGAGAGATTCTATAAAGGAGAAGTAAGGTTTTAAATTTTCTGCATCTGCCATTATGTTAATAGCATTAGTCTGTAATCTAATATGTATCATCTCCGAAATCAATCTCTTGTTCAAATGGTTTTTACGTTCAATATTTGTACTTTTTCCCAACAAAAATCATGGTTGTTTTTGAATCTATGTTCTGTGACCACAGATTGATTTTCCGAGTTTCGATTAATCTGGTTTTTGTGTTATCTTATTCTTGTTTTTAATTTTCTCTTTGTTTGGCCTACGTATGTCGCGTTGCAAAAGTCACATTGAATGCAATATACGATATTTTTATTGAAATCGTGTTCAATCGGGTCTTTAATTGCTCTAATAAACGTGTTTAATTTATTAATGCTTCTATACGCTAACGTGAAGTTCTTTCTACTTTTTCTTCTTTGCTTATATGGCTCACGCCCCTGCGAGAAAGGAGCAAACGCCAGTCTATAGATATACATTCTCAGAACGAATGTGGGTGGGGGGGATGTGCAGTTTTTACCTACTACCACGCGATACACGGCCGTCTTTCACAGTGGGCGTGCCCATCTATGTCGGGCTCGTGCTCAAGGTGTTATGACTACGATCGCCTTGTGGGAGGGAACTTAATTCGGGATTACACCCGAATTAATTTTTGGAGGCCCGATTAAGTTCGCCAATCAACCGATAAACTCGGTTGAAAGGGACCGGCCCGGAAAAAATCCTTAGGTGGTGAGCGGATTCGAACTCGGGACCTCCAGGTTCGCAGCCCCTGCACTCAGGCCGCGAGACCACTGGGCCGGTCTTGAAGTTCTTTCTATTTTTTTATGGTCTTTGACAATGAGTCAGCAAACTTATTGATGAAAGGCAGCACGAAAAATTTTTTCTTTTCCTCTTCTTGATTTTTTTATTGTGTCCGATATTTGGTTCGATGTATCTTTGAGTTGGTTGTTGATGATGAATTTTATTCTGTTGTTAATAATATTGAAAATAAAGTGTAAAGGATAATTATTTTTAATTAAAATGTCTATAATGAATTTAAGGTTTTTTTTATGAAATTGAGGATGAGATAAATGAAAAACCTTGTCTACCAAACCTATAATTGTCCCCACTTTTTGTGATGTTGGGTGTGCGTAGTAAAAATTAAGGTACCCGAATATGTGTTTTTGTGGTACCAGTCGAAAACTATTTCTCTGCCCTCATCAATAAGCAGCTTGACATTTAAAAAGCTCAATGATTTGTTAGTTTCTGTTTTGCAAGTGAACTGTAATCTGCTGTTATAACTATTGAAATTGTTTAATAAATTATTTAATTTATGAGAAGAGGTTGTTAAAATCAAATCATCTACATATCTGTAATAAAAGAATGGTTTAAAGTCAAGTTTTTTCAAAATGGAAGATTCTAAATTCTGCATAACTAAGTCTGCGACAACAGGGGATAAGGGAGACCCCATGGGAACACCATAAGTTTGCTTATAAATCAGGCCATCAAACGAAAAAAATGTAGAAGCTGATACAAATTCTATGGCTGTTAGAAATTCGTTAAGTGGGATCTTAGTATTGTTTCTAATGTACTTCCACCTAATCTTGATACCTTTCAAAACCAGATCAATCGGTACATTTGTGAATAGCGATGTGACATCAAGGGACAAAAGCATGTGACCTTGCTGGATTTTAGTTTTTTTATTTTCTTTACAAAGTTTATGCTATTGGCGATGTGACTTTTTGCGTTCGGAAAGTTCTTGTAAATAATACTGTGTAAAAATTCCGCAAATTTGTGAAATGGGCTACCCACGGAAGACACAATGAGTCTGTATAGAGCCTTTGGTTTGTGAATTTTTGGCACTCCATAGGCTCCATAGGAACGCATTTATATTTTTAAAACTCAATTTTAAGAAAACTAAAATTAGGTTAGATTAGGTTAAGTTAGGTTGTGACCGGAGTTAGACATTTAATAATCGGATTCTTACGGAATCTGTAGGTTTTCACGCCGGGTGCTTTTTTGAAACCGCCAAGCATCAAGGTTTCTCTCCTGCTGCTTTGGACGATCCTTTCCGTGCTTCCAGAAGTGGCAGGAACAAGCCAGGTCATGGGATAGGATTACAGGACGGGGTTTTACACAGAGTTCTCCAAAGCCAATTATTAGTTACTAATATGTTTTTTTTACTTTGTCAGAACATGCACAGTTTGCTCTGTATCTCAAACACGCCGATGTAAACAGATGCGATTGTTGCGCTGTTAGCAACACACACTCGGTATCGGTTTTTTATTGTTCACAAAGAAAAATAAGTTTTTCCAATTTTTGATTTTATGTCTTGCACAAGAATATTACAAAATAACAAAGTACATTGCATGTTTTAATAACGCTACAATACAAAAATGAGGCGCACAAGCTTGTTTTATGTCGTGATGCACTGACACATACGTGCGCATGCCACGGCAGCTTGATCACGACTCTTTCCTCTCTACGTCGAGTCCCCTGGCGCAGACGCAGTCACTTTCTCCACTCCTACTTTTCTTGTGTGTGAGGTTAAAGGGTGATTTGTGTATGAATGTGTAGCTTGGGTGTTTGTTGTGTGAGTGCCGCATGAATGCTTCATTAAGTGTGAATGTGTGTGTAGCTGTAGGGTGAATTTAAAATGAAAATTAATGAGCGCAATTAGTGTATCTAAGATGTGTGTGTGTGCGTGATGTTCGTGGTATGTGTTTGGATTATTAGTCTTAGTGTTTATGTTCGTCCTATGTGTGTTGTCAAGGTAAGTATTAATGTGCGTGTGGTGTGTGACTGTGGTGCACGGGAGGTGTGTGGTGTGTGTGTTCCTCCTTACTATATGTGTATGTGTGTCCTTGTCTTGTGGGTGTCCGTTGTACGTGTGACTTTGGTGTGTCTGTTAACGTATGGTTGTATGTTGAGTGTGTTACGTATGTCTATGTGTAATGTACGGTAAGTGTTTGGTTCCACTAAAATTCATGTGTGTGTGCGTATCTTGTGCGACCTTGGTGTAAATGTTAACGTGTGATTGTCATCCAGATATACTGTATGTGTAATCGAGGTATTTGTGGTGTAAGTGTATTGTGTTAACTTAAGTGTTTGTGTGGGTCATACATGTAAATAAAACATAATTTTTAATGAACGTTTGTTGAATGTACATGAGTGTGTGGTATGTTCGGGGTGTGTATGTTGCCTTAACCTGCATGTTTGTGTATCAAATGTAAGTGTCATAAAAGTGAGAATAAGTGTTGTGTCTTATGTGTGTGTGGTTTATGTATGATTGTGTCTCACATGGTGTGTATGTGTTGTTTTAAGTTGTGTGTTTGTGTTTTAGTGTATGCGAGATGCATACCGTTGGTGTGTATACCGTTATAAGGTGGGGAAAATCCTCTTAATAAGACCAACGAACCTAATACATCGGAACAACCTCAAAAAATAAACTTAAACCCAAACTCAAAATACATTAAATGTCTGACTTCGTGATCATTCCTTAAACTAAAACTAACCATTAAACAACACTTAATAAAAACAGACGTGTTTACGTCGTTGTCCCACCTTACAACTGTGAGCTTAAACTAAAACAATGGCTTAAAATTAAACGTTCACCATAAAATAAATAAATGTCATACGTAAACACAATTCCCATAAGGGAAACTTTTCTCTAAAAGTTCTTTTCCGACGCTTCTTCAGTTGGGGTTCTCAACTCCGATCCTTTTTATACAGTCGTCCTCCAATTGATTTGTGGACTCGAGGATAAAGAAAAGGTAGGGACTCCGCTTCATTTCGCTCCACTCGTTTGCTTGTAAATATTTCTACTTTCTCCATTACTATTGGAACTTCGGACGAGTGTATCACCCTGACCTCGTCGGTCGCCGCCTGGGTGTCGGGTGACAAAGTTAGGTTAGGTTAGGTTAGGTTAAGTGAAATAAAAACTGCAAACAAATGTGAAAGCGTTTTAAAAACTTACTACATATCATATAGAATCGATTTTAGTCAATATAGTGTTTTTTTATTTAATTTGTTTTTTATTTCTTGAAGTAGAAACTACGCGCGGTTTTTTTGTCCCATTGAACATTATTTCTGTGTAAAATTTCAGATTGACCGGAAAAAGGAATCATTTTAAAATACACCTAAAACCGATTATAGTCGATATAATTTTTATTTTTTTTAAATTTGTTTTTTATTTCCCAAAGTGAGGATTACGCGCGTTTTGTTTGTCTCATTAAACACTATTTTTGTGCAAAATTTCAGATTGATCAGATGAAAAAAACTCATCCAGGAGTCGAAATATTTTTCGAAATATTTTAAAATTAGTTAGGGGGTTATACGGGGTCTTTCATATATGTGATGCCAATCTACACAGTTTGTCCGGACAGTTCCCGGACTGATTTTTTCTAGCGCGGGTAAGCGGCG